CCACAAAGAAGAGGCAGTGAAACATATTTTCCAAAGCACCAAAAGGCAAAACAAGAATCGAGGGATGGAAATTAATCAAGGAGAAAAGCAACCTGGAATTAAGGAGAAGCTTCCTAACAGAGAGGACAATTAACCAGTAGAACCTCTATGGAGATGCTCAGTCATCCTGGTCATGGTTGTCCCAAAGGTTTTTTTTAAAGAGGCGAATGGAGTTTATGTTTTTTCTTTGAAGAAGTTTTGCTTCTCATCCAAGAGCTGAAGAAGCTTCCTGTTTGAGAAGTGAAACATCTTCAAAAAAAAATCCAGTTGCCTCTTGAAAAAGCACCTTTGGGATAACCAGGGGAACAGTTTGCCTTCAGAGGCTGTAGGTGCTTCATCACAGAATGTTTTTAAGAAAACACTGGACAGCCACCTACCTTATTTTTCAGAGTATAAGATGCAACCTCCCCCAAAAAAGGGTGAAAATCTGGGTGCATCTTATACACTGAATAATGCATTTTTGGCCTACCGAAACACCACTCCTTTCCAAAAAAATGGACATGCAGAGGGCTTGGGAGACTTACAAAGTGCTCCTGGAGGCTTGACAGGGCAAAAATGAGGAAAAAATGGGTGCGTTTTTGATTATTTTTGTCACCCCAGCCCCCAGGAGCACTCTATAATGCTCCCAAAGCCTCTGCATGCCCCACCCTTTTTTAAAAAAAATGAGGCATGCACAGGATTTGGGAGGCCTGCAAAGTGCAAAAACATAATTTTTTAAAAAATACCCCTTTAAAATCATGGTGCATCTTATACTCTGGTGCGTCTTATAGTCTGAAAAGCACAGAATTTGAAATGGTATAAGGTCTCCGGCTTGAGCAGGTGGTTAGACTAGAAGACCTCCAAGGTCCCTTTAGGCTTATTGTAATTGATTGATTGATCCCTCTTTGGTTCAATTTAAGTTTAATTTTGTATATCCGCTATTTCTCCCTTACTCCTCTCACCCCAAACCTCTTTTTTCCAGCAGTCCCCAAACTAAAATTTTCAATTACTTTTCATTTCTATTGCTTAACTAAAGAAAGCAGAAGATTATTAATAGAACTCTGGGGAGTTATGGAAACAACTTGATGGGCTTAAGTGGTCAGGAGCCTAAAATTCTTACAGCAATTGAAAACAGTGGGAGAAATCAACCATAGTCCGTCTTTGGGGTCTTTGTAAGATCCCTTCTTTGAAATATTTGTCCCTCAATTTAGAATTGAGGCAATTGCTGAGCTATTGTGGATGGCTGAAGATTGTCAGTCTAGACTCAAGCCATAGTTACCTAGATTTGCCATAATTCTGGGACATTTAGGGAAATGTCAAGGGAAAAACCAAAGGAACAGCCACTTCCCACCTGTTTACCTGCATCAGGTAGATTTTCTGAATAGCTAAGTGCTAATGAAATAGCAGAATTCAAGAGGAAGTCCAATAGGAGAAATAAGACTTTTTTTCACTCACAAGATATGATTTTGGTCCCAAAAGGAAACTTGTCCTAATCTACATGATAACGAATATTGGGAAATCTGCCCAAAGATCTTAGTTCAGTTGACATAAGGCAGTGAAAAATGTTAATTTTCTAACAGGCATTAGAGCTGGGTTGTGAATTTGGAAAGGGAAGGTGGGTGGATGGAGGTGTAGAGGGAGTTAGGGAAGATGGGAGGGATGGAGGGAAAGAAAGGAGGGATGGAAGGAGGGAGGGAGGAAGAGAAGGAAGGAGGGAAGGGATGTGGGAGGGGGGAACAGAAGGAAGGAAAGAAAGAAAGAAGAAGGATCTAGACTGAAAAACTGACTTGTTCTACAAGGATGAGAAATGGTTTATATTGTGATATGAAGGTGGGAAGGGAGGGAGAGAGGAAGGGAGGGAGGTTACCTGCAGAATCTCCTACAGAATACAAGCTCACCTTTCTTTCTAAGAGTTATTTTATATCCCACTGATTTATGCAAATATCATGAGGTCCTCTTCTTTAAAAGCAGAACTCTCTTTTTGATAGCCACATTTTCCTCAAAGTGTACATGTTAAATTGGAGGAAATTTTTTTAGGAACCATTATGAATTTCTGTCTGTTTTTCTTTTTTCCCATAGCCATGCCAAAATGTGAGGACACAATTTTACCAAAAGCAACAATATGATTTCTTTCTCCGAAGTTTGTGAATTCTAACTTTTATTTCTCTTACTTCTCTAGGGTCACTATCTGAGGTCCAACTTGTGTCATCGGGGCCTGGAACTGTAAAACCAGGTCAAAATCTCAATTTACTCTGTAAAGTTACTGGTGTCTCCATCACTGATGGTAGCTATGCTTGGAACTGGGTACGTCAGCCTCCAGGGAACGGCTTAGAATGGATAGCTGGAATCTACATCTATCATGGGCAAAAATATTTAGCATCCTCTCTTCAAAGCGGCAGTACCATTTCTTCAGACAACTCCAAAAATGAATTTTCCCTTCAGTTGAACTCCATGTCAGCTTCTGACACTGCTGTGTATTATTGTGCAAGACAGGGACACACTGACTGATTTTGCCTACTCTTCTGAGCAAAAACAGGAGTCTGACAGCACATTTTCTCTTCCATGCAGCAGATCAACATTCAGACCATGAAAGCATTTGAATTCTTAGAGTAACGTCTTCCAGAAGAACATTTTTTTTTAAAAAAAATGTGCTCAGTTATTGAAATCATTTGAATTTTTGGAGGACTATCTCTCCAAAACATTCATTACTGGAGAGACATGGGAACAAGTCCAGCCAATGAATAGGAAGAGCAAATAAGTCAACCAATGGAAGCTTTAACAGATCTGAGTCTGTGCAGAGATTTCAAACAGAAACTGAAGATACTGCTGCTTTGAGAAGTAAACTAGAAGTCTGTCTGGGCTTGTCTGCTGAAATGAAACTAACTGCTTGCGAATCAATTATCTGTCTGTGCTTTCTGGATTTTAATTTATGCAACAAACTCTGACAAGAACAGTGGACTCAGATATTGAAAGTCATCTGGAGACAAAAGCAAAACTGATTCTACCCAATCAATCCATCTGATTGAATCCACTCCAGTTAATTGATATGAATGTTATAAAGCAAAATTGGAAGCACAGACTTGATATCTATCTATCTATCTATCTATCTATCTATCTATCTATCTATCTATCTATCTATCTATCTATCTATCTATCTATCTATCTATCTATCTAT